AGAGAGAGAGAGAGAGAGAGAGAGAGAGAGAGAGAGAGAGAGATAGAGGGAGAGAGAGGGGAGCGTTGTGATAGTTTTATAATGCGGCACGTGTGATCGATCTGCCGATAGGTTTAACAGCCTGGTTCTGCTGCTCAGCCCTCACGGTAAGCACAGGCCGAGGAAAACCAATCTTCTCCTGAAACTCAATATTACGCGCTGCTTCTCGAAGCGTTTATGATTCTCGCCTCCGGGAGAGATGAGATAGGATGAGGTTCCCAGCTTCCAGTGTGATGCTGTTCATCGGATGCGGCTGAGAGATGCTGAGACGGAATGGCTTCATTCGTTGAGGTGGCTTCTTTCAACTTCTCTCAGCTTTCCTGCTTAATTTCACTGAAACCACGAAGTCACTCAATTGAATGAAATAAGTTCATTGGATTTCGTTGCAACTATGAATTCATGTTAATCTTGTGTTGAATCCAAGAAATTAACTTACTATCGAAATTTTCGATCTCCCTGGTGAAGATCCTGATGAAGATTTCCCAAAGGGAAATCGAAAATCTCGATAGTAAGTTAATTCTTGGATTTCACACAAGATTAATATGAATTCATAGTCGCTCGTTTGTTCTGCCTTCCGTGACGCATATCTCGAGTTGAAAGGTGAACGTCGACGAAGATAGAAATGACGTCATTCATTGAGATGTCTTCTCTCAGCTTCACTCATCGTATCACTTAGCTGACGCTGACGCCTGCGATCTGTTCTCTGTCCACGAACTGTATAATAAATTAATTTCGCGTGTATTTCACGTGTGGACCTCAGGCGATAGAAGGTTGCCACGAACGTCGCCCACCGAGAGAGAGAGGAAGGAAGAGAGGGGGAGAGTGAGAGAGGGGGAGGGGAGAGAAAAACAAAGAGAGTGTGAGAGAGAGGGGGAGGAATAAAATAAATAAATATATTCTATTCCTTATATTTATAAAGAATGGAATATATTTATATATAGAAGTAAAAACACAGGGACTCCCATGTAGATATGAAAATATATGTAGAAAAATTGAATAGGGTGTTAAATTTGAATAAGCAAGCTTTCGAGACTATCTCTCTTATTACATTATATTATATATACTCCCACACTGTCAGTCATTACCTTCATTGTCTATTCATCTATTAATCTATTGTCTACTATTCTTCGTTGCAGGTGACCAACTGACCAACGTGTGGCAGCCCTCATCAAACTCTAGCTCCCCTCTACCGCCAGGAGGCGTACCGAATCAACAGCACCCACTAGGTGGCGCTGCAGCTTATAACCAGACGCATTCGTCCGGTGGCGCCCCTCAGCCGACGCATCCTTCACCCGGCGTGACGTTCGACCCGAGTCAGAGAAACATCAATAAGAAAGGTAGAGATATAGAGATATAGAGATATAGAGATATAGAGATATAGAGAGAGAATGATGGCTTTAATCTGTGTTTGCTGTGTGGTTGTCTCTCTCACTGTGTGTGTGCGTGGGCGTGCGTGCGTGCGTGCGTGCGTGCGCGTGCGTGCTCGCGTGGGGCAGTGTGCAGTACCTGTAGTTTCTTCCCTTTGCGTGTGATGTCACCGTGTAGTATGTGCACACATACGCACCCACGCGCGCACGCACGCACGTGCATACAATTATCCATATAAAAAAGGTATATATGTATATATATATATATATATATAGCGAGAGTAGTAAGACAAGAGAGAGAGAATAAGGAACGAAAAAATCACTTTATAAATTTTCAACGAATGGAAATGAAAACTCATGAATTTCTTTCTCTCGTCTCTATGGCTCTCTTCGCTATTGGCTCTTTCTGTATCGTTCATTACTTCGCTTCTTGCAATCTTTGCATTCTAATGCTCTGCTACATTTTTTCTGCCTACCGGCCTTTCTATCTGCTCTCCTTACTCTCTCTCTCCTCTTTTCTACATATCATATTATTTATTAATATATTATTGTATATATATATAAGTTATACGCGGTGCGTGCGTGCGTGCGTGGCGTGGCGGGGGCATGTTGATTATGAGAGCCATAAGGCTGAATCCTGGCCACAAAGAATTCACGATTTCTCTACATTTTGTGGCGTAGTGACAAAGGACGAGCGTTATTGGGAACCAACGTTTAAAGTGAATAAACCACACGCATGGTAGGACTACGAGCTGGAGGGCAATAATTTATGTTATATTATATATATATATATATATATATATATATCATATAATATATATATATCAGGAGCTTATCCAATGGATTAGATAGCACGAACCCACGTGCAACTTAACGGTGACGTCACGCGCACGTCACAGCGTGACCGTAGGTTTCGTTCTCAATCTAAGTTGTGGCGAAATGTTTTAATCAATTTTAATTATTAATTAGTTAATAAATTTAAACGACAATGTTTTCAACTTATACTGCGCAGAATTTTCTAACTACGGTGTAACGACACTCGCTTCGCTGGTGTTTTGCTTGGCAAGGCAACTTCCATCTATCTTCTGGCATCTTGGCTTGCGGCTTGTGTTTTCCATATTTTGCCCGCATGTGACGTGTGAATTGAACTTCTATTGCGGTCTTGTCAGATCGTCTATGTTTGGCTAGTACATGTAGCGCTGCTGCTTGTTTCTTATATGTGATGTCGTGTGCGCGCGTGTGGTGTACTGAGTGTGTGGTGCGCGGTGTGTGTGCGCGTAGTGTTTGGTGTACTGAGTGTGTGTGTGTGTGTGTGTGCGTGGTGGTGTGTGTTTGTGTGTGTGTGTGTGTGTGTGTGTGTGTGTGGTGTGTGTGTTGTGTGTGTGTTGTTGTGTGTGTGTGTGGTGTTGTGTGTGTGTGTGTGCGCAGCGTGTTGGGTTTAATTGAGTGTGTGCTGGCCTGTATGGTGTGGGTGTACTGAGTTGTGTGTGCGCGTATGTGTGAGTGTGTGTGCGCGTCGTCGTGCGCGGTGTGGTGTGTACTGAGTGTGTGGTGCGCGTGTGTGGGTGTTACTGAGTGTCGGCGCGCCGCTGCGCTGCGGCGCGTGCGCGGGCGTGCCGTGGCTTGGTGGCGTGCGTGGTGGCGTGGCGTGGTGTGCCTGCTGTGTGTGTGCTGTGTGTGTGTGTGTGTGGTGTGTGTGTGTTGTGTGTGTGTTGTGTGTCGCTGTGTGCCTGTGGGTGTACTGAAGTGTGTGTTGCGTGCGCGTGTTGTGTGTGTGTACGGAGTGTGCGCGTATGTATGTGTGTGTGTGTGTGTGGCGTGCGTTGCGTGCGTGTGTGTGTGTGTGGTTTATATGTGTGTGTGTGTGTGATGTGTGCCTGTGTGTGTGGTGCGTGCGTCGCGTGCGTGCGGAGCGTTGCGTGCCCGTGCGTGTGCGTGCGTGCGTGCGTCGTGCGTGCGCGTGCCGTGCTGTGCGTGCCGTGCGTGCGATGCGTGCGTGCGTGTGTCTGAGTGGTGCGCTTTGGTGTGTGTGTGTGTGTGTGTGTGTGAATGTGTGTGTGTGGTGTGTGTGTGGTGCTGTATGTTGTGTGTGTGTGTGTGTGTGTGTGTGTGTGTTGTGTGTGTTGTGTGGATTGTGTGTGCGTGTGTGTGTGTGTGATGCGTGTGTGTGTCGGGGGTGTGTGTGTGTGTATGTGTGTGTGTGTGTGTGTGTGTGTGTGTGTGTGTGTGTGTGTGTGTGTGTGTGCGTGCGTGTTGCGTGTCGGCGGCGTGCGGTGCGTGGCGTGCCGTAGCGTGCGTGCGCTGCGTGCGGCGTGGCGTGTGTGTGTGATTGTGGTGTGTGCGTGTGTTGTGTGTGCGTGTGTGTGTGTGCGTGCGTGTGTGCTGCGTGTGTGTGTGTGTGTCGTGTGTGTGCGCGTGTGTGTGTGTGTGTGTGTGTGTGTGTGTGTGTGTGTGTGTGTGTGTGTGTGTGTGTGTGTGTGTGTGTGTGTGTGTGTGTGGTGTGTGTGTGTTGTGTGTGTGTGTGTTGTGTGTTGTGTGGTGTGTGTGTGTGTGTGTGTGTGTGTGTGTGTGTGTGTGTGTGTGTGCTGTGTGTGTGTGTGTGTGTTTACTGAGTTGTGCGCGTATGTGTGTGTACTGCATGTCGCCTCGACCGTTTCTAATGCTTGAAATTGCAACGAGATGGCGCTGATGGTTCGTATAGCAAGAGTCCGTGAGTTGTTATGCCCTTGATCGTGAATTGTATTGATCACGACCTGTACGCTCACACAAGCTTTTATTGATTGTAGTTTGTCCGTTTTTTCCTCCTCCCCTTAAGGCCCCCTCGCTACAACTTTGTAACAGTCCAGCTAGAGATAATTGGGTAAAGATTCAGTGGAAATGCGAATTTTTGTGAAAATAAAATCGGATAAATATTCGGGTGTTATCTCTCGGGTGTGATAAAATAGAAATGAACAACAACGGGAATCAGGCGGGGTGGAAGAACAAAAATTGAAAATGACGGTATTACAGAGTGCAGCCACAGTAAAATGGTAAAATGGTAAATGGTAAATGGTAAGTGTTTACAGTGGTTACGTCACCGTAAATCGTAAAAGTAAAAAAAAATCATATATTAATATACACTTTTTCACAAAATGTAAGTGATTCTGTTCGCTTTTGATGGTTAAATTGCTGCATTATACTTGCTATTTTACTATATTGTTCGATGTGAACAAACGCTCGTGACTCATACATAGCCCATAGCAATCATTTAATGTCATGATCAATATATCAAATCGCCCAGGTTTTTTGGATTTTTAACTAGTTGAAAAACAATCTTATCAGGTAAGAATTTGACGATACACTTAGTGCCGTTAGTACTTACTTCATGTAAAAAATTGCTCTTTTTTTTACAAATATACACCACAGAAAATTCGTTATGTAGTCAATTTACGCTCGGGTTTGTGTGCTGTCTGCAGTTCTACCCAAGATAATCTGTGGCTCGTTCCTGCCAAAACCCTTCCCAGGAAGCACGGCAACAACAACGCCCCCTGCTGGCGACGCCCAAGGTTTGTCGCATGCGTGCACGCCTGCATCGTCTCATCGATTAGAGATATCGATTAACATATCGATTAGGGATATCGATTAACATATCAATTATGGATATCGATTAACATATCGATTAGGGATATCGATTAACATTTCGAGTAGGGATATCGATTAACGTTGATTAATGTCGACCTGCTGTGAGAAATAGGAGATAGGAGATAGCAGTGTTTCCCCTGTACTGGCCAAAAAGGTCTGTGAGATGGTAAATGTTTTTTGTGATGTGTTTGTGCATTTCGAGGTCTTAGTTAAGCGAGCAGCGCAGGTGCTGGCCAAGCTAGGGGGTCCCGGGAAATTTTTGAAAAAATTGTGCTATTTGGTGCGTTCTAAGCTATTCTGAACACATTGTATGACACTCTTGTATCTCTTTTTCAAGTTGTCAAAAGTTTCGTCAGCGAGGCGGTGTTTTGGACAAATTTCTGTATGGCGGCTGAGAATTTGAGCAAGGCAGCCCGCCTCGCTTCTGTCAATGCAGGGGAAACACTGAGATAGGCAGATAACTTCCACTAATGCCACTCACTACTGCAGCCCTCCGACAATCGCATCTGAATTCTAAGCGACGTTTATACACACGCACGCACTATACTCATCACTCATCCGGAATGTCTTCATTCAACAACAATCGACTCGCTACAAGAAACCACTAATTATCTAATTGCTATGTAATTATCCACTAATCGTCGCCTCGGACCTGTATCCCGGCATTGTGCACGTGTGGCCTGCAGCCTCGCTCATTAATGATGGCAATTACGATTAATCGCGTTAATTAATTATATGAATTATATTCACGATGAGATGAAAGCTCACTAGATGTGAATGAATGCACGTACGAGATGGCTTGGAGCTTCGACGCGCGCGTGGGTTTACAACCCCCCCCCCCGCCCCCGTCACAGAGGCATCGTCATGCTTACGTCAGGTTTTGATTTGTTAACACTGGTGATCGAGTGAACGCACGTTTGAAGTGCTTTGACGAAGCGAGGAATGTTATGACGCGTGATAATATAATTATCAAAAAGATATTTTACGTAATACATAAATAATGTGTTTTTAATGTGAATTTTTTCGTTATTTTATACGATATTTTTTTGTATGTACTTTATACATTTTATTATGTTATGTTTTATGTATTCTGTAATGTGTCTAGTGTAGTGAAATGCATCTTAACCATTTAGCTAAGCGCCTGTTCACTTGCAGAAGGATACATTATCCATACTTTGCTTGCTTGCAGCACTTTCTCTGATCGTCTGTCGCGACTTGGTCCTTTCTTTCATTACTACTTGCTTGCAGCGATCTCTCATGGCATTGTTACCTCTTACCTAATGCTCATAGTGTCGGTGTGTCAGCAACTACTGTGTATCCCCGTCATACAGTCATGTACATTACTGTGTATCCTCGTCATACAGTCATGTACATTACTGTGTATCCTCGTCACACAGTCATGTTCATTAGTTGTAATTCGCCTATCATTCCCATTCATGTGTCGTAATGTTCGTTAGATGGCGCTCTGACTACTGCCACCACATCTCCGGTCTAGTAAACGATATTGTTCAAATTCATTGTTGAATTCAGCCGAAATTAGGTGTAGTTAGGATGAGGGGTAAGCGTTAGTGGTGGAGTTAAGGTTGTGGCTAGTGTTAGGGTTAGCTTTAGGGTTAGGGTTAGGATTGGGGTTAAAATTATGGTTGGGGATAGTATGAGGGTTAGGGTTAGGATTGGTGGTTTAGAATTAGGGTTGGGGATAGAATGAGGGTTATGGTTATAGTTGGGATTATAATTATGGTTAGTGTTAGGGTTAGGGTTAGAGTGAGTGTTATGGTTAGGGTTAGGATTACGGTTAGAGTTTGGATCATGGTTAGGCCAAGGATTAGGGCTAATGTTAGGGTATGGGTTACGGTTATACTTATTGGTAGGTAGGTTTAAAGTTGAGGTTAGGCTAATGTTTAGGGCTAATGTTAGGGTATGGATTAGGGTCATACTTATTGGTTGGTAGGTTTAGAGTTAGGCTTAGGCCGAGGATTAGGTCTAATGTTAGGGTATGGGTTAATGTTATACTTATTGCTAGGTTTAGAGTTAGGGTTAGACTAAGAATTAGGGCGAATGTTAGGGTATGTATTGTTTTGGGGTTATACTTATTGGGAGGTAGGTTAGAGTTAGGGTTATGCTAAGGGGTGTTGATCTGTCATGTTGATCACTCTCTCTAATCAATAAACATTAAGTACGCAGCTGGTTTTCATACATTACGAGCTCGTTAGCATACGAAAATAATAACGGTAATTATGCAAAAGAATCATTAGGTTAATGATGTACCACCTTGTCAGAGCATACATGCAAGGCGGCAATAAACTGATAGAGCTGTCAGATAATTAAGTAATTAAGTAACACAGTAATTAAGTAACTGATTTCGGCTAAGTCTAACATTCTTGTTCCTGATGACATCACTTGTCTTGTGATGTGTCAGTATCGTTGCTAGCGAGTTGTTGCCATGGTAACTCCTCGGAGCAGCAGTTGTCCTCGTGTCATGTGCAGTCGCCGTGGCGACTCACTAAGTGAATCTTAGTTCGTATGCACGTTTCATTGTTGTGGTGATTCTGTGTCTACGCCGCATGTCTGTCTCATCCCTCTCTACATATAGAGCGTCCAATTATTGAGCCACCCCAGCACACCCCTTGCCCAAAACCCAAAACCACAAATCTCATCATCACCATCATCTACTCCCACTGCGCGCGCGTATCGAGTTTTGACCCCTCCGTTGTATTTTCTTTTCTTTTTTTCTTCACCAGTGCTGGAGGGCAGGTACCTGTGGAGTAAGAAGAATAGGGGCATGTTCTCTCGCGATGACTATGCATGCGTTAACTACTCCCTCCCGCAGCATGGACGCAGGTACTCCCCGGACGGACACGCCTCCACCGAGTACATCGAGCTACCGAAGGGTACTGTTCTCTTCGCTACATCTGGCACTAGGTAGTGGTGGTGGTGGTGATGGTGGTGGTGGTGGTGGGTAGCCAGTAGGTGGTGGGTCTCATCTACCTCTCCCAGCCAGACCACGAACGTACGATTGCACACAGGGATGAGCACAGCACTGCTGGCTCTAAGGTAGCGCATCCTGGTTCGGACAGTCGCGAACCGAGAGAAAGTTGCCGTTAATTTCGTTGTTTTATTTCAGCGTTGTTTCTGTCTATATCTGGCATCCTTGGTGAGGATTGCAGCTGTGATGCATGCCTGGTGATGATAATTTCAGCAGTGGCTCCATCTATTGATCGAGCTAACGCCTCAGTGGAAGCTCGACTGAAGCTTCGATACGTGCATGGCGGGGATGTATTCGATGCAGGACGCGGTGTCGACGTGACAGATAGCGTGATAATCACCTGCCTCATATATACGCGCATCATGAAGCCATCTTAGTATCATCTACAGAGTGAATCTCTGCAGTCTCTCCCTAATCTCATCGTTTCTCATCACAAGGCTGGAGGTCTATGGGTACCCGGCTGCGCGAGGAGCTGACGCAAGGGCAGCCGCCCCGACCAGCAGAGGGCAGCACGAGCTGCGCAACGCCACCTGGTGTCGAGCTGCGGGAACCCGCGGCTCGTGACGCGGAGGCGGCAGGATTGCGAGAATTGAATCGGGTTGATCTCGCGAATGCGACGCAGCCGGACATGTTGTCTGGCGGTCAAGACCTGGTGCACACGGCCACTCAAGAGCTTAATCTGCGGAACCAACCGGCATTTGGTCGCAGTGACACTCAGAACGCGTCCATCCACATCAACTGCGAACCGACTGCAAGGAAATCATCACAGGAGCAGCAACAACAGCAGCAGCAAAAACAGCAGCAGCCACAACAGCAACAGCCACAACAGCAGCAGCAGCAGCAGCAGCAGCAGCAGCAACAGCAGCAGCATCAGCAGCAGGAGCATCTGAAGCGCAGGTTGCGGCCACGAGGGGGTGCCAGCAGCAGCAACAATGACACGTTCATCAGCGAGGTGTCGTACTTCTCCGACTCTTCGCGAGCATCCTCGCCCGACCGCACCTTCACCTCGACCCTCGACATCAGCGAGGGAGAGGCGAGTGAAGCCGACGACGACGACGTGGTCGTCGGCAGCAGCGCCACCGTCGCTGACATGCGCAAGGACTTGCAGGCCATGGAGAGGAACCTCCTTCGCGATCTCGGAGAGTTCGACCAAGGCAGCTACCTACCGTTCGCCCCGGCCGAACCCCATCCTGCCCCCGCCGAACCCCATCCTGCCCCCGCCGAACCCCATCCTGGATCCTCTAATCCTTACACTGTCACGGCTGATCCTTACACTTTTGCCGCGAAAACTTACACCGTCGCCGCGGAAACCGACGGGCAAACGGACGAGCAGAAAATGGTCGGCACGATCCCGGTGCGCCGCTCGTCTGTCACGCGCATGCGCAAGTTCTTCGACTCGCCAGGAGAGGGCGCCGGTGCAGCGGACGCGGCGACGGAGAAGCGCGCGGCTCACCTGTACGGCCTCGACGACGCGTTCCCGCAGCGCATCGCGGGCGGACGCGCCACCGCCGTCGAGACCGTGAATGCCGTGCTCGAGTCTCGTCTCACCGGCCGCCTCCCCCTGCACGTCCAGCCGTCAGAGGACGGCGGCAAAGCGCAAACACCGATCGGGGATGACGAGCCACCACCGTCAAAACAGACGAGTGGTCCTCCCGGGGTGCATGACCGTGCAGGGATGTTTAGGGTAAATCAGGAGGGGAGCGATTATCCAGTCGAGCATCCCGGTCTGCCCGCGTTCGTGAGTGAAGTGTCTGCTGTGACTGACAGCGCTGTCCTCCTCTCGCAGGCAAGCCCTCCGTCCCAGCGTGTCTCCGCAGCGGCGTCGAGTAATGCCGCGACACCAGAGGTTGCCACGTTAGCTCGCGGTGAGCAGCGGTGGGTGACAGCGATTGCTAGTCCGCAGCAGGATCCTTCTGTTGTCTGGACTGTGAGGGATAACTCTGGGCGTGGCCAACAGGTGGCGCAGCATGCTGCTGCGGACGTTAAACCACCGTGGCAACAGGAAGCGATACGGTCGCACCCTGACTGCACTGAGACTGTAGCTGCCAGTCACCTGCCCAGCCACCAGCACCCTCCACATCACCCCCATAGCCACCTCCAGATACAGCAGCAGTTGCTTAACCAGCAACCTGGCCTACAGACCCACAACCAACAAACTACAGAGCAGAACCACAGCCACACAGCCTCCCGACATCCAGCTCATGCTGACCAACCCGTCCAGCTAATCCACAGCCAACAGCCTCTTCCTGTTCAACAAACACATAGTTACGAACCAGCGCAAGAACCCTACGCAACCTATCCCATCCAAGACCACAACCACCAACCCACTGAACACACCTACAGTGATCAACCTAATCAACTGACACACTCTAACCAACCCGGCCAACAGTCCTACATGTCACATTCTATTCAACCGCCCCACCAACCGAACTATAGTGATAATTCTGGCCAGCGCACTGGCCCTCATCCAGTTGATTACAGTTCTGGCGTGACACCACAACACGTGAGTGAACCATCTGACATGCAGCAGAACCAGCCGGCACCAGCGCTAGTGTCTCCCCTGCCAGGCACACCGGCTCAGCTTCGCATGGGCACATCGCTGGTGTCACCGCGCCAGCAAGAAGAGCCAGACTATGACGAGCTTCCCTATGCACCAGTCAACACTGACCATCAAGGTCTTCCGAAAGTGCCACGCATGGGCACCGGTCAACAGATAAGTGCTAATTCAGCGACGGTCAGTAGCCCGCGATATGTGGATAGTCAGTCTGAGCAAAGCTTTGTCATTGGTCAAGATGCCAGAGTGGTTGCTGGAAGCCCCGAGGCGTCTCAATCAAACCCACGTTACCATAGCAACCACGTCTTTCAAGGTAATCCTGAATTTCGAAGCCAGCAAACTGCATACCAGGGTAACCCAGGGCAACAAATGAATCCTGCATACCAGGGTAATCCGGGGCAGCAATTTAGCTCTGAAAACCAGGGTAACCCTGGACTCCAAGGACAAAATATGAACCCTACAGATCAGGGTAACCCTGGACCCCAAGGACAAAATATGAACCCTACAGATCAGGGTAACCCTGGACCCCAAGGACAACAAATTAACCCTGCATACCAGGGTAACCCAGGACAACAAATGAATCTTGCATACCAAAGTAACCCAGGACAACACAATAATCCTGAATACCAGAGTACCGGGATCAACAAAAAATCCCTGGGCATACCAAAGGTAATCGGCCAGGAAACAAATTAACCCTGCATACCAAAGCAACCCAGGACAACAAATGAATCCTGCATACCAAGGCAACCCAGGACAACAAAATAACCCTGCATACCAAAGTAACCCAGGACAACAAATGAATCCTGAATATCAAGGCAACCCAGGACAACAAATGAATCCTGCATACCAAAGCAACCCAGGACAACAAATGAATCCTGCATACCAAGGCAACCCAGGACAACAAAATAATCCTGAATACCGGGGTAACCCAGGACAACAAATGAATCTTGCATACCAGGGCAACCCGGGACAACAAATTAATCCTGTATATCAGAGTAACCCAGGACAACAAAATAATCCTGAATACCGGGGTAATCCAGGACAACAAATTAACCCTGCATACCAAAGTAACCCAGGACAACAAAATAACCCTGCATACCAGGGCAACCCGGGACAACAAAATCTGCAATTTCAACATCGTCTTGGTGAACAGCCTATCCCTGTATTTCAGGGTAATGCCAGCCCCCAAATTTATCCTGGGAATACTGTTAGTCACGACAACGTGCCATTCCCGAGTAGTCAAGCTACCCAAACCAATAACATGAGTCAAAGTACTCCTGGATATGATGCAAGAGCTGGATTCCCCAGAGAGTCCAGTTATAGCAGCCAACGTGCATCACAAGGATTCCAAGATTCTACTCCCATTGAGGGGAACCCGACCTTTCAAGAGCAAACATACGTTCAGGGGTATCCGCAGTCTCAAGGAGTGCCTAACTACCAACACATTCAACCTCAGGAAGCGATTCCTGCTCTTCAACGTGGCTTAGTTCAACAAGGCAACTCTGCTCCTCAGATTAGTGCTCCCACTGATACACAGTATCAAGGCAATCTGGAACAACAGCGTTCTGATATGGGACAGCAGCAGTATCCTCGTGATTTTGGCAACCAGGGATATCAAGGCAACTTGCAAACTAGTGCGCCATACCAGAGTCGTCCAGCAACCGACCAGATACATCCCAACGTTCAATCGTACTCTGACTATCAACCCTTTCCTGCACAGCATGAAAATGTGGGTCATCCCACACAGGGTTATCCTGCTAGACAAGGATATCAAGGTGAAATTTCCTCCCAGGGTATAGCAGGTCATGGTCAAAGCACTGGACACCATGTTCATCCACCTAGACCTCAGATCGACCCTGCAGGTGGTCAGGTGCAGCAGAACTATAGTAGTTATCCGACACAGAAAAATCAATACTATTCACCAGAACGTCCTGAACACCCGGCTGGCAATGCTTACACCCCTAACGTAGCCGAGCAGGGGAATCAACCCATGCGCGGAAACCCCAACTATCAACCACAAGATGTGGGCACGCACACTCACCGCAAGGACGTCACGCAACCACTCATTGTCAACGTATCAACCGCTTACAACCCTGCTGGCCCACCACCGGGCATGCCGGAGCAGTACCAGGAACTACTGCAGAAGCCGACGTCTCTGAAGCGCGTCACCTTTCGAGACAACCTCGAAACGATCATCGAAGCAAGTCCGGTGCACTCCGGTCCGGAGTCGGGCGAGGAGGGACCGAGGGAGCTGCGTGTGTACAGACAGACTCAGCAGGACCTCGCCAACAGCCACATATACGATGACCTTCCCCTGCTTGCCACTGCAGACGCTTCCGCGCAGCGCGGACAGCAAGATGGCGGCAGGCGGCCGGACAGCGCAGCAGCGCCCGTGTACAGGATCGCGGAGCCGCAGCAGCAGCACCCGCTCTACCAGCCGCTGCCGCTCGCACCAGGAACCCTCGTCAGTCCGGCCGACCTGTCCGACCAGAAGCCGGAGCCGATCTACGCGACGCTCGACAAGTCGACGAAGAGCGGGAAGGGCACGGCGTACGTGACAATGCTAGACGGTGCCGCTGCGAGGCCGCCCGTTGAGGTCAAAGACGTTGCCGTAGCAGCAAGCCACGAAGAGGCGGCATTGACAGAACCACATGTGCCTAGAAGTCCCGTGGTGCCACCGCGGGCTCCGATTGAGAGCAGTAGACCTGTGGTTGCTAGTTTAGGTGCGCCGTCCAGGCCGCCAAAGGAGACTAGGGACGTTCTCGGTTCAGTAGACAGCAGTCCGATTTTGCCTCGGTCAGATTCAGTAGACGCACGACAAACTAGTCATGTGAGTACGAACTCTGTTATTACGCCGGCAAGCACTGGTGATAACAACTCCCAGGTCATGGAGAGTGGTGTAGGCCAGCAGGTGGCAGGCCCGTATTCTATGCCAATTCAAGTCTCGCACAGTATATCAAGTGACAACATAAGTCAAATACCAGCAAGACACGGAATATACAGCAGCAAGCAACGACAAGACAGCATCCCAGTCACCGTCTCTTCACAAAAAACTACAATGTACATCTCACCTGCTCCTGCCCCTCAATCACAGATTTCAGGCAGCTCTGTAATGCCATCAAGATTCCCAGTGGACGCGCCTAGGAGTTCAGAAAGCATCGTTGCTCCCCCGGCGCAAGCCACCACTCCAGACACGCAACCATTACAAAACAAGCAACTCTTCTCCGAAACAGAACGATCTTCACCTCGAAGCTCGACAATTACCACTGCCCCAACCACGCGGAGTGCTGCACCTCAAAGTACCGATGGTGAGGTAGCGCAACCTGACGGACACAGAGAGGGCGGCGGCACAGCGCGCGAGCAGCAGGTTGTCACGGTCATCCGGCGACTGACACCGAGTCAGACGGAGCTGGAGAGAGCGATGGCTCTCGTCGCTGAGCTCAGTGAGTACGACTCCGAGCAGGAGCAGGAGCAGCAGGAGGGAGGCGACGGCCAGAGGAAGGTGAGGAAGACCCGGGCGGCACGCGACGTGAAGCAACAGCAGCAGCAGCAGCAGCAGACGCCCCCGATACCACCAATAGGTGCTAGCAGTCATCAGACGACGAATCCTTCATTCAGTCTCCCACCTAGACCTGACCGTCAGGCCAGTCCACGTCAGATTAGCCCTAAAGACATCAGTCCAAGACAGCTTACCCCTAAAGAGATCAGTCCAAGACAGGTTAGCCGTAAAGAGGTCAGTCCAAGACAAGTAAGTTCGAGAGATGATGATGAGAATCAAGGCAGAACTGCCGAAGTGGCAGAAGGCCAACTACCTGTAGGGTCACACCAGCAAAGCATAGAGCCACCAATCATTAAGAGCATCAAAACAGTAGCTGCTGATAATTCTCAAGCAGCGGAAAAAAGGCAGCAGCAGCAACAGCAACAGCAACAGCAGCAACAGCAACAGCAGCCACAGCAACAGCAACAGCAGTCATTACATCACAAAGCAGTCGAGGTCGTGGTCACTTCTACATCGCCTACTTCCGTTACCAATGCAGCAATGAATCCGCCTCAGTTTGCCGAGGGAGTGACATACGACTATGGGCATAGTAAGCTTGACGGCATAGCACAGCAGACGCCTCGCACAGCCATCACGACTGAAGGTTCGCCGCTGCTCCAGCGACTACACGAGGAGAAAGTCCGACGCAGCACAAAGGACGAGCTCCCCGAAGTCGCGTCGGCGCCGATTGCACAACAAGAGAGCATCTCGAAGGAAGAGATGTGGGAGGTGCGCGGCGATCAGAAGGAAGGCGAATTGACACCGGGGAAGGAACCCGCAGTGAGCAGCTCCAGCAAGGAGGAAGCGGTCGAGAGGAAGGGTCCATGGAGGAAGCTTCTTGAGGAGCAGCTGGCGAAGCGAGAGGAAGCCAAGGCGCAGAAGAAGCCATGGCAGGAGCAAGCCGACGAGATGCTGCAGGAGGAAGCCGAGGAGCCTTGGCAGCAGCAGGTCAGCCTCATGTTGCGCACGCAGCCCGACGAGACGTGGCAGAAGACACATGACGTGCCGAACGAAAGCCAAAAGCCGGAGTCTGATGTGGGGAAAGCCTCCGTCGCGAAGTTGGATCCTCGGATGAGGATCGGGAGGGAGGAATCCGAGAGACGGCGGAACGTGGAGTGGGAGCAGGATGTTACGGGGAACGAAGCTAGAAGGAAGCCGGAATTGTCCCCGATGGAGAGAGAGGATGTCGTTGCTCCGGAGAAGCGTTCGCAGCGTAGCAGCGATAACAGAAAAGCGAATGCAGCTCCGCTAACTCTCGATGACAGCCAGCAGGTAGTCCTGCAGCAGCAAAGTCAGATGCAGGACCTTCATCGTGCATGGCTGGAAAGAGCTGAGAAGCATACAGAGCATGCGGCGACAGTAAAACCGCAGCCTGGCCAGGCTCTGCAGAACGAGTTGGATGCGGCACTGGCGGCGCAGCACCGCAAGCTGCAGCTGAAGCTTGAAGAGGCTGAGCAGCGGCAGCAGCAGCAGCAGCAGGTGGAGGACGAACTGCAGAGGCAGCAGGAGGAGCAGGTGAGTCGAGAGCGCGAAGAGTGGGAGCGACTGCAGCACGAGAAACTAGAATCGCAGCAACGTGAGTCGGAGCAGCGACTACAGCAGCAGAAGGAAGAGCAACAGTTGATATTCGAATGGCAACAGCAGCAGCAGCGAGAACGTGAAAAGCTAGAGTTGGCCGAGCAGCAAAAGCAATACGCGGAGCGAGAGGAAGAGAAGTTGGAAGAGGCACGGCAACAGGAGCAAGAGCATCAACTAAAGCATCGTCATCATCAACAACAGCAGCTCCATCAGCAAGAGAAGCAGGAGGATGAGGCAGTGGATGAGAGAAAACTGCAGTTGTACCTGCAAAAGGAAGACCTCGACGCGGAGGAACGGCAGCGAACGCTAGTGCGTGAGAAGCGAGAGAAGCAGAGGAAGATAGAGATGGAGCTGCTGCAGCGGAGGCAGCGAGAGTTGGAGGAGCAGCAGCGACAGGACGAGATGGACGCTCAGCGAACTCTTGAGCGACAGCGGTCGAAAGACGGGCGTCGCCGTGACGATGCGCCGCCAACGCCGCAGAAAACAATCGGGAGCCTCATGGACAGGATCGCTCAGATCATCGCCGAAGAGCCGGGGTCTCCAGAGACGACGCCACAGGGGCTCTTGATGATGCTGCCTGGCGCCGCCGCCGGGCGACCACAGCCCGAGAAACAGTCGGCCGGGGAGCGTGACGATAGGCGGCCGGCGCAGCAGGGAGAAGGTGAACTAAAGCTGCTGCCTCCTGTTAGACATCACGGTGGACAGTGGCTGTCCTATAGCAAGATGGACGATGCGCTGTCAGATGCGGAGGAGGTGGTGCCAGCCCGTCCCGCTCTCCCCCCCAACTATGAGAGCCTTGCGCCCGCCTACATCCCACCGTCTAGCCCAGCGCTGTCAGGCATTTCAACAGACAGGCCCTCACGGTCAAGCTCGTCCATGTCAGCAGACAGGCCCTTAGATATTTCACGGTCAAGCTCTTCCTTGTCCTTGTCCAGCGCTCCATCGGGGTACCCCGCGGGTGGTCACTCTGGTGTGTCCGGCCACCCGCGCCCAGCGGGCGTACGCTCGCCAAGCCCCGCACTGTCCGGCGGCGGACGAGTCGACCTAGTCCCGCTCAAGTCTCCTGCCGGAAGCTTCGCTGGTTTCTTCGAGGAAGCGACCAAGCTGCACTCTCCGCGCGGTCATCCCGGCGGTCATCCCGGCGGTCATCCCGCCACGCCGCGGCCTCTCTCCCCGCCGCGGCTCGACCCGGAGGAGTACATCGGGGAAGAGGTTGATGAGGAACAGCTGTATAGGGAGCTGGAGCGGGAAGCATCCCTGCCGCCGCCGCGCCGCCCGCGAAGCTACAGTGTCTCCTCCTACTCCTCACTCTCCAGCGAACAGTCGCTAGACGAGGAACTCGAGGCGTTACAGGGAGCAGCAGCTAGAGGCAGCACACCGCAGTCTGACTCGGAGCTGTGGGCGCGGCGGCCGGGCGGGTATGGCACGCTGCCGTCGCGGCTGCATGCGGTCAGTCTGTCCGAAAATATGGACAAGGTCGGCGCGAGGGAGCGGGCGATGCCGCAATCGACCTCCAGCGACTGGAGCGCACGTCTCAGCAACCTGGAGACACTGACGAGGGGGAGGGATCCGAGGGAGAGGGAGAGGGAGAGGGAGAAAGATCCGAGGGTTCCCTACAAGGCTCGCTCGATGTCCGTCGACATGACAAACGCCTCCGGATCGGCGGTGCCGGCGGATTGGTCGCGAGATTCCGTCGCGGCGTGGATTAAGTCTAGGTCGCTGTCGGTCGGTCGCGCGCCGCCGAGTCCGCGCTCGGTCGATGCCAGCTCCGATCTCTTCTCTCTCGACATCTCGCGTTCCATGTCGCCCTCGTCTGACATCTCGAGGTCAAGGTCGCCGGGGTCGGACGACTGGTCAAGGTCAAGGTCGCCGGGGTCGGACTGGTCGCGGTCAAGGTCGGTCGACTGGCAGCCGCTGTCACGAGCAAAGTCGTCGTCGACGCAGTCACTGGACTGGTCAACGCTGAAGCCGCTGCTAGCGGAGCAGATGAAGAGGTTGCGCGATCCGTTGCCAGACGCGGTCGCCGCGGCGACGACGCCGCGAGACGATGCCGGGCCGCCGCGACCGCCGCTGCCGCCCGGCTACGATGATCGCCAGACAAGTGAACAGCAGCGAAACATAAGCGAATCGCAACAGCAGCCACATGCTAAGCCAGGTTTGTTGTCGCCGCGTGTGCATGCGTTCCCGACAGTGTGTGCGTGCATGTGCCTGCCTGCAGACTCACCCAGCGAGTGTCCTATAGTGGCTAGAATGTCGACCGCTAACCACACGCTCATGAGGCGAGGAGACAGCGTCAAGGAAGCATGCAGAGAAAGTGCGCGCAGTAACAAGGCTCCGACACGCAGTTCTCTTGTGTAGGTTTAATATCGCATCTCTGTAACAAGAGCAGTAGCAGGAATTTCCGATGAGCTTACTGCGATGCTTGTTAACGTTATAGTTGTAGTTGTCAGACGACAGGTGCCGCCACGGGGCTATTCCACACGTTATTCTCTATTCAACGGGTTATTCGCACGTTGAACGTGTTATTCTCTGTCAGCAAATTATTACAGTGACACGCTCACTCATCGGTTAGGTCACGAGGTCACGATGTCATCTAGAGTGCAGTTGTGGCCGCCACGAGCTCCTTATTGAATGCAGGAGCGGTTGTTGACGATGCAACCCGCAGTCCTTCCACATTCCCAAAGCCATGAGTAATGGTTGGCGCATGTGGTAAAACTCGCCGAGGCAGTGGCACCTTGTTTGTTCACTCGACGTCAGACGTGAGAAGTGACGATCTGCCAGAGCTGCAGTGCGCGCGTGCGACAGCTGACTAAATCCACGTACAGACTGACAATTTGATCCTACCTCAAACTGGTGCGAGTCAGGCGCACGTCAAATCGTAGCGTACAGACTGCTACAAATTTGATCCTACATCAAATGAGTCACGGGTTGACTGTTTAGCTCGCTACGTCACACACACAGACAGCTAGCCTACTGTACTTTTACGTGACCTAAGTATGGCTCTGCACATGCGTATTGCGAAACAGCACCGGATCTGGCACGCGTGTTTCTTACAGACACACACAAGCGGGTCATCTTATCCCTGGATAAGTTATCCCGGGCCTGGCCCTCCTTCATTTGCGAGCCAAATTGGTGCGTATTTGGAGCGGGATAGTGTGTGCACACTGCAAAAATTTGACGCGCGCCTGACCCGCACCAGTTTGATACCATATCAAATTTGCAGTCTGTACGGCGTATAAAACCCATCGAGTACAGATGCAAAATTTGGCAGCCAAATCCTTAGAGGAGGTGGCGTTTCGTTTTCACGTGAAAGCGAAATAAATTCATTTGCGGCCGTGGACCAGGAATGTCATTCTAGTTCATGACAAAAATTAACGAAGACACCATTGCTAGATGACAAACTCAGGCTGGTGACCTCGTGACGTCATGACCTCGTGGCACTTCCAACTTCTGCGTGAATAGTATCTTTATTATCTTGAGGGCGGGCTACACTAGGAACATTAACCTATGTACGTAACCCTTAAACAAATGTCAATTAACATTTCCCACGTTAACCGATTGACACAAAATCATCGAACGCATTTCGGTCGTCATTGCCATTGGCTGGTTGGCTAGGCGGTTAGCTGGCTGCCTGGTAAGTTGGCTGGCTGGTTAGGTGGTGGTTGGTTGGTAACTGTATTAACTGTGCATTAGTGTTAGGGTATTAACTGCATTGATTGTGTATTAGTGTTAGGGTATTAACTGTATTAATTGTGCATTCGTGTTAGGGTATTAACTGTGTTGATTGTGCATTAGTGTTAGGGTATTAACTGTATTGATTGTGCATTAGTGTTAGGGTATTAACTTTATTGATTGTGCGTTCGTGTTAGGGTATTAACACTGCATTAGTGTTAGGGTATTAACTGTATTGATTGTGCATTAGTGTTAGGGTATTAACTGTGTATTAGTGTTAGGGTATTAACTGTGTATTAGTGTTAGGGTATTAACACTGCATTAGTGTTAGGGTATTAATTGCATTGATTGCATGATTAATTAACGGCGTGATTAGCGTGTGACGTGCTCGTGCGTGCGTGTGTGCGTGCGTGTGTGTATGTGCGTGCGTGCACGTGTGTGTGTGTGTGTGTGTGTGTGTGTGTGTGTGCGTGTGTGCGTGCGTGTGTGTATGTGCGTGCGTGTCTGCGTTCGTGTGCATGTCTTCTGTTCCCGCGTTGCATCCCAGCATCCCAGCTAACTAAAGAGTGCTGGAGAATCCTCTGTCTGTCTGTCTGTTTGTTTGTTTGTGCGATAGCAGTGGATGTTGAACAACCCCTGTGCTATGGTCAATGATCGACTCTGTCGCTCGCTTTCTAACGAACCAAACCACTCAGACTGACACAATGCAACAACAACCGTTAGCTTGGCTTAGCATGAATGGCTGCTGCAAAGTGTGGCTACGGTGTCGGTGGCGGCACGTAGCCGCCGCCGGCCGTACTAATAATCTACGGCAAAACTGTGGGATTGTGCGCACCGTCTCGCTTCGAAAGTTCTCTGCTGATCTTGTTCGTCATCGCATGCGTCGCTGCCGCCCGGTGGCGCCACCGTACGGTTAGCGTGTACATAACCAAGCACGCTGGTTTTGCGCTAGTTTTACCCTGGGTACGCCCGCGCTCGTGTAAGCACTGGATGTCACGCAAATACCCGACGCAACTCTAGGTACGCCTCGGCAACGGAGGGAGACGCATGTTTTGAATTGTTGTTTTTTTGTTGCGAAAAGCGCGACAATTAGTCGCCTGGTTATCTGATAGGTAGAGGTCAGCACTGGTTCGAACGACTCGTGAACCATGGCACGATAATAGTGGATTTTTGACCCTTCATGTATTAATCACTTCATTGATCGGAGATCGATCGATTTATCGATACGCAAGATTGATATGGTTGTACCGCACTGAATATTTGGTAAAATGAGATTCGCTCGCTGTTTGCGCGGAGGTCTGACCTTTGTTCAAGGTCATGCAGAGGTGAGGGAGTCCGTACGCAGCAGCGGTGAGCTGACGCTGTATATATCTAGCATGTGATGGTTACGTGTGTGTGGTCGCTAACCCTTATCATAGCAGACGAGTTCGGCCAGCGCAGGAGCAACTACTAACACCCCCCACCAGTCGTCGCTGTCATCGCTGTGTATGACGCCGACACACGGACTACCATTAACAATAATTAACTAATTAACAATAACTGCTGATTAACTAATTACTGCCTGATGATGTAAATTATTAACACAGCCTGGCAGCGGTTGAAACAAGTGTTTTGCCGCAATGTACCGTGTCACAATCAGAGCAATAATGTCTTAGTTAGACTGTTCCGGTCTAATGTACTATAGTCACTATTCTAATGTCTTCTAGTCACGTACATCTATCTACGCAACTGTGGCTAGGAATGAGGTTGAGAAAGCTAGCTATCCCGTGAAATCCCGATAACCGCGTGAAATCACGTATGGGTGACGTATAGCTCTAGAACTATAGCCCTTCGCTCTGTCACAGGCCTGTCGCAGAGCGAAGGTCTATAGTTCTAGAGCTAGCGTGACGCGTGGAGGGGGAAGGAAAGAGACAGGTAATGTGACTAGAGGTTAAATTCTGGTACATTGCCGCTCAATGATTTGTTGAAACCGCTGTCAGGCGTCGACGCTGGCAGGCAGGCATGAGACTTGACAGGAGAGAGTTGTGTTCGATGCCCGTATAGCTGCACGTATATAGCAGGTGTCACAGATACGGTGGCAAGCCCCCCCCTCTCTACATCATTGATGAGCATGATCGATACCTAAATCATCGATGACGCATGATGAAATGTTTGTGTGACACGCCGTAACGTGACCACGTTGTCGTTTGGCATTGTTGTTGTTTACACTTTCTGCTTCACAATGCTGCTTCTGTTATACATGACGTCATAACAAGAGTAGATAATAACAAATTGTTATTATCGACTTTTGGTCATAAGGATAGAGCGCCAACTTAGCCCGCGTGTGTTCGCCAGTGCGTCATCTGTACATTCATTGTTTATTTTCTTTTGCATCGTACAGTAGATGGCGCCAGTGTGAGAGATAGCAACCAGCAGTCAAGCCCCACACCTTTAGGAGGGAGAGCCTCCCCGAACGCACCCATCCCCGGGTTCAGATCCGTGAAGTTCGCACCAGAGCATAATAAAGGTACTTATTGTAATTATAATATCAGGAGTGAATAATAATAGATTTCTCTTATCTTCTCTAAGATTTCT